TGTAATCAGGCAATTCTATCATGCAATTCCTGAAGATCCCTAGCCTAGTACTAACATGCTCTTCTAACATATCTCATAATCAAATAACTTGTATGGTATTTTGGGGTCTACTTACTGGCTCCGGCTGATCGTACATCATGCATCCTCCTTTACTTATTTTGAAAACCTTTTGAAAAAAAATCATTTTGAAAATCCTTTCCTTGATTTGAGACTGGAGTTACACGCATGTTCCTCTAATTCACTCAAACCAAGGCTCTGATACCAACTTGTAACACCCAAAAATTCAAACCAATTTAAACTTTTAAAAACATTTCAAACCATTAAAAATCATTACAACTTTGTTTTCAAAATGTATAATATCATAGTTTTCCCAGAAACATAGACAAAACATGAGGAGCTGTATGATCACGCCTTCGCCTTGTCGCGATCCCCTGATGTACCTGAAACAATAAACTGAAGCTGTGAGCCCGAGAGCTTAGTGAGTTCCCCCAAAATACCGATACACATACAGTCCACATAAACATATCATAACAAACGGAACAGCATGCAATGGGTCCACAACTTTACAAGCTGGATTACCCCTGGGCCCTCAGTACGAGTCTGGAATGCCTACTGGGCCCTCAGCTCGTATCTGGAATGCTCCCGAGTCCTCAGTATGAGTCTGGAATGCCTACCGGGCCCTCAGCTCATATCTGGAATACTCCCAAGTCCTCAGTATGAGTCTGGAATGCCTACCGGGCCCTCAGCTCATATCTGGAATACTCCCGGGTTTGTTGGTTACCGCACGGAGCAGTATCACCTCAACCCATCCCACATAACATATCAACATATAACATAACTACTGAGCATGAAAATATTCATATAACAACACAGGTAGTCCTACAGATCTACCTAACTGACATAACCACTAGCATGCAACGCTAACTCATACTCGACATAACCACTGCTAGGATAACATATCCAATGGGCCGGCCTTGGTGCCTTAGACCCCTTAGTATAGTGAGGATAACTCACCTCCCAACTGTCGTCTGAAACTAGAAAGCTCAACTCCCGGATCACCAACACGAACTCCACCACCTGTAGTTACCATAACACCCTTTTCATAAATCTCCAAATTACCAGAATACCCTCAGAAGTCAACTGGTCAACTCTTAATCAAAGTCAAAGTTCACAGTCAAAGTCAACAGTCCATGTTGACTCGACTCGTCGAGTGTAGTTCACCGACTCGTCGAGTCCTTCCTGAACTCGAGAAGTCGTGAAATCCTTGATTGGCTCGTCGAGTTCCCTTTCAACTCGCCGAGTTCATACGTGTCCAAGAATTGGGAGAAACCCTAGCCGACTCGCCGAGTCTTCGAACGACTCGTCGAGTTCAAGGCAATCTTCAACGGACTCGCCGAGTTTGTTCATCAACTCGATGAGTTCATGACCATCTTCATATGACTCGCCGAGTTGACTATGCAACTCGTCGAGTCCTTGCAGACCTTCATCCATGCAGACACTTTTTAAGCCATGCCAAGGTTTCAGATTACAGATCCAAGCTTCTAAGGCATGTTTATCACGTAAAGTTGCAAACTTTACACGCATGCAAGACCCTAAAGGCTCTAAATGACCAATCTAAGCTTCTAATGGAACTTTACACCTTAGGAGAGTCTCATCCTTGCAAGAGCTGGAAACTTTATGGACTTAGGACTCAAAAGAGGTTTAGATCTGAAGTTTCAACTTCAGTTCTAGCTCCCATTCCCAAAATTCCTTCATGAATAACTAAAGAAAGCCCTAGTTTTCTCATATGAAGGATTCTAGAAGAAAAGAGATTAAGGTAACAGCTTATTACCTTCAAGATGTGCCCAAACTGAAGTAGACTCTGGATCCACACAAAATCCTTGATGCTAGCCTCTTGATCTACAAGTTTCCTTCACAAAAGTCACCTCTCAAAGCTCCAAAACACTCTCCAAGCTCTCACTCACGGGAATTAGGGTTTCTGGCTCTCAAGGGGTGATAGAGGGTAGTGGGAGGCGCTAATGGTCCAATATATAGGGTGCAAAAACCCTGAAACTTAGGGTTTCCATTGCCAGCTCCTACTCGTCGAGTCCCCCATGCCGACTCGACGAGTCATTCATTAATTGACGTGTCCTGGCCCACTGCTACTCGACGAGTCGTAGCGTCAACTCGTCGAGTAGACCTTAAACATGAAATCTAAATGGAAAATTAATGATACCTGACGGTTGGGATGTTACATCAATACTTATAACATAAGAACGACACCACCATTTGTTTTAAAGTAACAAGTACACTGCTCTAAACATAACAACAAATACAACAATTTATTGATGTAACAACCTGAAAACTATGAAAACAATACTAAAAAGCTTACAACTTGTAAACAATAGTTGCCAAAACAACACCCAACTACAAACCAAGGCTATCTTTAACTTCTTATTTTCTAATTGAAAGAGCTTGTTACTGTTAGCTATTTTAGCTATTACGGATGTTGCTATAGATGGAGACCTATCAGATATAATTGTAAGCTCCTGCATATTGCCTATGCAATCACGTAGTTTTTGAAAAAACCATGTCCAAGAATCGGTACACTCATTTTTGCATATACCATATGCAACCGGTAATATTTGGTTTTGTCTGTCCTTAGTAACTGCAACTAACATGGTACCTTTGAACTCGCCCTTTAGGTGGGCTCCATCTACTACAAGGGTCGGTTTACAAAATTTGACAAAAGCGCGTACCTACAATACATTGTATATCTATTCAAATACACCAAAATAAAAATGAAAAAATTAATAAAATATTAAAATACTAACCGAGCAATCAAGTGCGACGTACAAAAACTCAAAGCGATCATCACCATCTGTTTTAATATGTGTCACCGTACCCGGATTATGTTTGACCAAATTGTGACAATAAGCCGGAAGTTTGGTAAAAGAATCCTCTTTCGTACCCCTTAACAACAACAATGCATATTGCTTCGCATGCCATGCCTGATGGTATGAGATATTGATATTCAATTGAGCATTAATATCATTAATAATATTTTTCCCCCGATAAACTCTACTATAATCTTCAGCCAAAACATCAGCAAGATATTCACTCAAAACATATTTGTTTGCTTGTCGATGATTAGGTTGCAAAATTGTTGAAGAACATGTGTGTACATCAACAAATTTATTCACTTGGAAAAGTCCATCAGAATTTTTAATTGCTTTTGCTCTTAGTAACCAAGAACAATTTTTCGAAACACACACAACCTCATACCTTGATTTGGTGGATCTACTTGTCCTCGTCTGAAAACCTTCTCGAAGACATTTTTTTACCAATACACCGCTTTAAAAGTTCTTTGTTCTTAAATATACTCTCACATTCAATCTTTTGAAGATTGATGTCTACCATCTGTGTTGTGATATCTTCATTAATATCAACTGGGCATGCTGGTACATGGGGCATACCGTAAAAAAAGTTATCGGGAAACTTAGCTTTAACTTCATCACCCAACTCATCTCTATCTGAATTGCTTTGTAAGTCGGTTATATCTAAACGTACATCAGCAACATCAACATAATCCCCGTAAACATGCTTTTTTTCATTTTTTTGACTCGAATTTTTTTTCTTTTTACTTTTATCTACTACACGCCTATTCATAACTTTAACTTCTTGTTCGGGAACATCATCACAACGATCACCCACATCATTAAGATATGTACCAACATCATCATCACCAACATACTTGTAATTCTCAGGATCCACATAGTGAATAGGTGAATAACTAACATTAACATTTTCAGCAACACTGTGAAACTGAGGTACACTAGGAGTATTGAAAGTACCTATCAGATCGTTGCTCCCTTTATAGCTGCATAAATTACCAACCGACTGATTTCCACTGTGACCAGCCTCATTAACCTCATCTCCTTCATCAACCACCACAAACACTTTGACAACCCTTCCTCCACTACATTTGATTACATTTATCAACATTCTAACATCCATGTCTTCAACTATAGCTATATAATAATTCAATTCAGGATGATGGAAACGAAGACTAATTCTATATTTGTCTAACAAACCAATTTTGCTTCTCACCAAAGATACAAAATCACTATAACTAATATACTCAGAAAATATCAGAGTGAATTCAGAAATACCTCCCTGTGGACATACGTATTCCAGATTTGTTTCAATAACTTGCCATCTCCCACCGGTTACAAGACAAACCAAATATTCAATCATTTTTTTAGAGAGATTTTAGAGAGATTTCTTAAACAAATAACAACTAAATTGATAATTTTCTACAAAAGTTTATATATATAGTAAGGTTATTTCGTAGTCAAACCAATTGATTTCATAGTCAAAATAAAAAAAAATTAAAAAAAAATTCGTAAAATCGCAGATGGAATACAGAGGAAATCGCAAATGGACTGTGTCCATCTGCGATTTAAGCCTGCTCCTGCCCTATATATATAGAAAAAAAATTATAAAAAATACTCACTTATACATTCGCAGATGGAATGTGCAAATCGCAGATGGATCATTCCCATCTGCGATTTTTGTGGTCATTTTTGCAATTTCATTTTTTTTGGCTATTTTCCACAAAGTGATTAGTATCTTTGGCTATTTTGTCATTTTCTCTTCATAAAAATGCCTAAACCAAACTTTATGCTAAAGTATGCTAATTCTCACAACAAGCATCATACACCGAGACATCTATCATGCAAGGTCGATCTATTGCTATCACTTTTGCATCTAGCCATTTTTCTTTTTCTTTTTGGTTCCTTTACTCTTCTTTCTTCCTGCATTCCCTTCCGTTTAATCATTCAAGGGTTTCTGTCTTTTGGGCGCGTATCGGAAAATTCGCCGGACATACCAAGTTCCTCTCTAGATAATTCTTGGCTCGACACACTTCCCGAGTTGTATCTTGTATCACCCCCTGTTTTCGCTTTCATATCATAAGCACTGCTTCCCCCTTTTCGACCCATGTCTAGGCCTGCTCGTTTTTAACCACTTTCGTTCAATTCATCCAACGACATCTCGCCTTGCAAGACACGCACAATCTGTCATGTATGCACATACCATTCGACTGAAATTTGCAGGTTGCTTATACTAATAGTGATAGTTATGTGACTATAGGGTCATTCATGCCTATTGCTACATATATATACCTGGCTCATTTTAGGGCGTTTCTTTGCTGCATGTCTAAGGCAAGCAGCTGCACATGCTACCATTCGATGCATCTCGTCCCTGTTATAGTTACCCCTCAAAAGTGGATCGACCATCTCTTCATAACTTCCCCCTTCTGACGCTTGCATCAGGGTAGGCCCAGCCTGCAACACACGATAAATCATAAATAACAAGAATATGGTAATTGTTACATGTGAAATGTATGCATAGAAGAAACTATTTGTAAACTGTAAGAAGTTTTACCCAATCGATCAAGCTATCTTCATCACTATCTGGTTCCACAGGTCTTCTTCCAGTAATCAGTTCCAAGAGCACAACTCCATAGGAAAACACATCTGACTTCTCTGTCAGCTTACCCGTGGATGCATATTCAGGTGCCAGGTACCTTTACATTTATTAATATTTTTAGTATTAATGAAATTTTATGGTAAATTTTGTTTGATGATTGTTATGTACCCGAATGTGCCCATGATGCGTGTTGAGACATGAGTGTTATCATCAGATGAAAGCTTTGCCAAACCGAAATCTGCCACCTGATTAGTTTAAGTAGTATTTAATTTAGCAACTCTATAATCTATTACATAATTACCCTCTATTGTAGCTCGAATGGATATAATAGAACTATAAGTACCTTGGCCTCGTACTGGCTATCAATTAATATATTTGCGGCCTTAATGTCTCTATGGATAATTCCGGGATTGCCTACATGCCATGAAAGTTAGACAACAATTGTTGAAGTTGCTTTTATTGTCTGGACTTGACCAACTTTCTAGTGCTATTTTCAATAAAATGTTATTTATGTCTTTTGCACATACGAGATATCAAGAGAGAGTCCCTGCCCTACCTTTTTGAGTAGGACAAGAAATTTGCAAATTTTGTCTTATTGACATCAGTCTTAATCCGAGTCCAATGCATGTCAGACACAGTCTTAATCCGAGTCCAATGCATGTCAGACACAGTACAAGACCCCGTCCTATTTTGTCATTGTCATGTATATGGAGAGTCCTTACAATCTTCATGAAGGTAAGCGGAGCCTTTGGCTGCTCCCAAAGCAATCTTTAATCTTGTTGAACAGTCAATAACCGAGCGACCTTTGTCTAAAATAGTAAACCATGAATGTTACAACTTACACGTTAACCACAATGGCAAAACGGTAAATAAGAAAGAAATCACAACCCATTTTGGGTTTATCACATACCGTGAAGATGGTATTCAAGAGTACGATTAGGTATAAACTCATAAACCAACAATCTTTTTTTCCCAGATACACAATATCCAACAAGAGATACAAGATGGGGATGATGCACACGACTTATAATATCAACCTCCGCTTGAAATTCACGTTCACCTTGATCACTATTGGGCTTAAGGCTCTTCACAGATATCTCCTTCCCATTAGGTAACACCCCTTTGTAAACATACCCAAATCCACCTTCCCCCAAAAGCAAAGACCTATCAAACCCGTGTGTCGCTGTCGCCATGTCATCATATGTGAAACTACTCATACCTAACCCCATGGGTGGTGGTGGTGGTGGTTGCTTAAACTCTGAACCACTTGAAGGTGGTGGTGGCATCTTTAGTGGAATGTCACTCGACTTTTGTTTATAATAATCGCCATTATCTACATTAAACCACAAAATTAGCATATATGAATGATATAACCAATATTAACCATGGTTAAATGTTAATGATAATGGTTTCAGATAAATTTAATAGTAATATACTTGGGTTTTTGTGTGTTCGTTTCTTTCTACGACAACAACTTGCAGCCCCTGCAATGGCTCCTACTAAGATGGCTTCATCTTCACTACTCCCTAATGATTTTCCAATACTTGTTTCCTGTAAGAATGGAAGCATTTTATGTAAAGGTGAAAATTTTGATTTATGATCATGTTTTTTGTTTTTGTTGGCGGATGGGTGTTAGGAATCGGACCGGGTACACGCAGCGGAAACACACTATCACACACACAAACACACGAAGGAAATAAAGCAAGTAGGAACACAAGGATTTTACGTGGTTCGGATTCGGTGTAAATCCTACGTCCACGGGCGCAACTAGATTTTATATTAACTCACTATAAGATTACAAATGGTAATATCACTCAGCACTTTTGTTGTTCTACGCTACATCGCTCTTCTTACAATTTATATATATATATATATATATATATATATATATATATATATATATATATATATAGGAGAGAGCCGTAAGCCTTTTTCTTTTGTTTACACAAATTGCCGTTATATTTGACTAGAATATATATATGCCGCAAAGTTTGAAAAAAAGAATGCGTTGATTTCTTTAGCCGTCCAAAATAGAGCCGCCGTCCACTTCAATATTATTAAACAATTGATAGTGCGTCCAATTCAATATTCAATTGTTTTAATTTCCAAGTTTCATTTATGGCCCTTGAACTCTTAGGAACTTGTCAATTTGTTCAAGACTCCATAAATCTTAACAATAGGGACTTCTTTTCTTGCTTGGATGGTGTCGAGGACATTTTGGTAATTTACTATGAACGGTCGGGTAACCCCCACCACTCCTCCAGAATTTATATCTGAAAATCATGAAGATAAGATTAGAAGACATATGAGTATGAATGATCATAACATGAAATTTCAACAAATATGTGTTTGATAGTTTGGGTAAAAGACTTTAGAGAAGGTACCTGTAGGAGAAGGGGAGGGTAAATTTGGAAAGAAAGTGGAGAAAGATACGGCGTATGAATTAAAAATAACAAAGAAATTAGAGGGTACCCTTTGACAACTCCTAATTTTGAAGAACCCTTGAATTATGGATCTTATTTTTAGGCATGAAGATTACTATTATAATTGGTTTTGTCTATGGTTGTCAATTTCTTTTTTGACTTTTTACTTGACCTACAATTGTTTTGACTCATAATGCAGCAAATAAGATTTTTTGGTTTCACGGAATAATGTTCATGTTATAAAGAATTGATTTGGTTTGTAACAAAAATGGATAGTATTTGAGAAATCGAATATATTTAGCCACTTCAATAAAAAAAGAAAGGTATAAGTTTATCGAATAGCTACATTTCGTACCACTTACATTGTTGTTTTTTACAAGCATAGTCACTTTACTTTTAAAGAAGATGTTCCATTTAGGTATTTGGTAACGTGTTATTTCCATTGCTTAACATAACATGGCAATACATCTTGAATCTTGATACGTGATATGCACCAATATTAGAGAAGATTTTCCATTTAGTCAATCACCTGGGTTGGTTGGAAGAGGTGGGTCTAAAATCACAATAGAATATGGAAATCCAACTTGAAAATAGTGCTTAAAAATAATAACAAAGTCACTAACGAAAGAAAATGCTATTAATAATGATGAATCCATGTAAGGTAGGATAATACGTTGTTGAGAACGAGGTTGAGTTAAAACACTTAACAAAGTTTTGGAGACATCTAAACAATAAAGATGTAGTAAAACTTTAGCTATATGATATATAATGCCTCAAATAAAGATTAGTGGTTTATATTGTAAAAGATCATGAAAAGGGTTTATAGCGTATGACTATATTCACGCTCAGTGAGATCACAAAGATGACCATCTCACAAAGATGACCGGTGATGTGTGGGGGTAAACCGTAGATGCCACAAAATTCTTGGGTTAAATCTATAAGATACCATTGAATCGTCTCTTATTGATTGTCCACATTAAACGAGAGTTTAATCTTCGTGACATCCAAGTGACATTAAATTCTACGTGTTAAAGAAAACTTGTCAACTTGGTGGGTGACAGTTGAAAATAGAGGGTTAAATTGCAAGTTGACAAATTTTCCTTTGTCCAACGAACGTGGGTGAGAGGACTAAAGAAGTGTCTGTAAGGTTTTTCTCATCTTTAGCTTTCAGAGGCTTTACTGGAAATTAAGGGATGGGCCAAGCTCATATTTACGCCTAGCTAGACCGATGATGCGAGGTTCACAAAATGGCGCAATTTAGGTGCGCTTTGCATGATGCAGGTCACTTGGAGCTGGCAATAATCAGTCAGTGATCTCCAAGTTGATTTTAACTTTTTTGTATCCTATTTTAATTTGTCTGACAGCGGAACATTATTCTTCTACATTTCTTGCAATCTGAACCGATTGTAAAGGATTAATATAACTTCTTGATGAAACTTATATGATCTGATTGTGAAGGATTGATATGATTTTTTTGATGAAATTTAGTGATTAAGTAATACAATAATCTCTCCAGGTTGATTTTTGTATCATATTTTACTTCGTCTGACAACAAAACATTATTCTTCTACATATCTTACAATCATGGGGGGTGTTGAGGGGGCAAAGTAGACTGCTGTACAGGGTCTAAATTTTTTTGTTATATATATATATATATATATATATATATATATATATATAGTGATAAGGACCCTTCTGTCAGGCTCGACATGGACATTTAAGGATATTTAAATCCTCAGGGCCGGCCTACTTACAATCATACCTGATTATGAAAGGATCGATATGATTCTTGATGAAACTTGGTAATTAAGTAATAATAATCTTATTTATTGCGACGATTCAATATTATCTGTGACCTTGTTTGCGTTTGATTTTACTAAGAATTCAATATTAGTTCACAATGCTAATTGTCAAATTGTTTGTTTGTGAAGTCTGAAATACAACATTGACTTCAGCTCATGTATACCCCATGCATTTATTTGGAATTTTAATCGTTTAAAATGATTATCATGTTGATAGTAACTTATTGAAATGGTTTTCCGTTCTTGATATATGAGGTTAAACAAGAAATCGAGAGTTCATGTATACTCCATACTTTTAGTTGGAATTTTAATCGTTTAAAATGATTATCATAGATAGTAACTTATTGCATTAGTTTTCGGTTCTTGTTATATGACTTTAAACAAGAAATCAAGATTTCATGAATGACTTCAAAATTGGACAACTATGACTTGTGTAAAAGTTAAACAATGTTTATCACGTTTAACACTTGTTTTTTATATAAAGAAGCGTTATATTTTAGGGAGGTATAATTTATTTGGGAGGTTAGATAACATTTTTAAAATAGTAAATTAAATTTGCTGGATAAAAACATGTTTATTATGGTGAATCAAAAAGAAAAGCAAAAGAGTTGATTTCTTGTAAATGTTAAACTCTTCTGAGTAAAGCGTCCAAATTTAGTATTTAAAAAAAACATCAAATTCCTAAAGTTGGCATATACTTTCATTTTAAGTATGTGAAAGTGTTGCAATCATTTATCCAACCTTTCATTTTCGTTTTAACCGGTTTTCAAAGAAAATGCTGAAATCAGTTTGATGTTTATAACATGTTATTCTGTAATTTATATTTTTTTTAAAAGCTCAAATTATGTATTTGTCAATGTGTAAAATAATGAAGAAAACAAGTGCTTGGACTTATACCACCCTGATTTAAAAGCCAAAATATAACTTAAAGAATAATTGTGTTTTTAAATTAGAGGGCACCTGCTACAAGCCTACCACGCCTGAAGGAAAATCTTTCAGAATGCACATAGCAAATTGCATTTAGATGATTGAGGAAAAGATCAACATTTGGTTGAGAAACATATGTTCTTTCACTTTGAAGGTTACGATCTAAATTTTAGATGGTGGAAGTTTTGACCCGGTTTTGTAGATGCAACAACTCAATCTCTAGGCGGTGCATTTTTTTCTTATTTGAATGAAAACATTCAATTTAAAGAGAAGCTTTTGTGTTTTCGAATCATAATGCATTTCGTCTTATTAAAATAAAAGTTTTTATTTTTGTTATTTTTTGGTATATTTTGTCTTATATAATTAAAAACCATATAATATATTGAAACCAAACAAAAACTCGATAAATGAATAACATTATGACATTTTATTTAAATCAAACTTAGATACCGTTAAATTTGTAAATGGCTACAAAAAGTCATTCTCATACACCTACTTAACACTATGACATTGACATTGACATACCGACAAATAATGAAGACGTACAATTATGGTGAATTATGGTGAGTATGCCAACTCTATTGGCATCGAATGCATGTTTTATTTATTTTACCCTCTCCTTGTGATGGATTACAATCGTGGTTCATGGTTGATGTTTACCCATTGTTAGTGGTTTAACTATCATCAGTTTAGCACACATCATTTAATAGGATATCAATATATTACATTCTCTTGTGGTATGTAGTTTGATAATACTTAGACATGAACTAGGGAATACCTAATTCCAACACTATACATAATTTAATGATGTGAATGTTGCTATCTAATAAAAACGTAAATAAAAGGGTTTTGTTTCTTATTATTGGTTCATAATTAAAAGAAGAATACCAACGACTGGTATTTATACAAAACGTCTAAACCTAGATAACAGATAAGAAGCTAGATAGATAAAGATAACAACCATATGCCAACTAGATAAACAACTAATAGATAAGAAGCTAAGTCGAATTCCTTCACTCCCCCTCAAGTTGGACCGTGAAGATTACGAACGCCCAACTTGGGAAGCAGAAACCGGAAACGCTCAGTTCCAAGAGGTTTGGTAAAAATGTCAGCTAGCTGATTGGTAGTATGGATGAAACAAGGTTGGATATGTTGAGACTCAACTCTTTCACGAACAAAGTAGCAATCCATTTCAACATGTTTGGTACGTTCATGGAAGACAGGGTTACTAGCAATATGACGAGCAACCTGATTATCGCAATATAGAGGAGTTGGAGTGTGTTGAAGAACCCCAAGATCAGTTAAAAGCCAACGTAACCACAAAACTTCACTAACAACGGTGGCCATAGCACGATATTCAACTTCAGCAGAGGATCGAGATACCACCGATTGTTTCTTCGTTTTCCAATAGATGGGG